CAATTATCATGATTAAACCTCATTAGATTATTTTTTTAATTCTTAAAGTGGAGGATATTGATGATCAATTAGAGCTAGTTTCTTCAATGTCATGGCCACTAGCCACCTGTAGCTTATGAGCTCTAAAAATGTGGTTGATCCAAGTTGAGATGTGCTAGGCATACAAAACACATACCAGATTTGAATAATTAGTGTAAAAAATGCAAATTGGCAGCAGAATTTGTAAACTGCTGACATGCTGCCTTAGTTTTAATTGTCAACGTGACACAGCCTGGAGTCATTCGAAAAGAAAGCCTCAGTTGAGGAATCACCTAGGTCAGATTGGTGTCTGAGCATCTATAGGGAATTGTCTTGATTACTAGTTCATGTTGGAGGTCCCATTGAGCTGTGGGTGGCACTGTGCTTGGGCAGGTGGTTCAGGGCAGTAACAGAAAGCTAGGTAAGAACAAGAAAGACAGCAAGCCAGCGTCATTATTACATCATACTTCTGCTTTCAAGTTGCTTCCCTGACTTCCCTTGATGGTGGATTGTGACCTTGAAGCATAAAACCAAAGAAATCCTTCCCTGCCCTGAGTTGCTTTGGGTAGAAGTGTTTTATCACGACAACAGAAAGCAAACATGTGTTGAATATACTGTCTTGGCTGAACTGTATTATATAAAACACATCTTCAAGATTTATTTCATCTGTTCTCTGCTCTCCCCTGCCTCACCCCTCATTCCAGAAGGTTGTGGTCTGAGGCTCTGAGAATGGCATCTCCCAGACTTTGTGGAGAACAGAGCCATGCTCTAGCCCAGTTTCACTGAGTGTGATGCTGATACAAAGCTGAGGTTGAGAGGAGAGAGGAGAGGTCAGGGCTCTTATTTCCTCTTCTACTCCACCCATTCTGGTCCATGTTTCCTGGAGAAGCTAAGATCTTGCTACTATTTCACTTCTGTCTGCACTGGCTAAGTCATTATGCTGAGCTGCATAGTGACAAGGAAGACCCAAGCCTCAGTCTTACCTCCAGAACATGAACAAATGAGGAAAACCTACAGAAAACAAAACCATGCAACTGAAAGACTGAGTGCACATGAAAGTACAAACAAGCACAGAGCCTGAGAGGTCAGAGGCAGCAAAGTGTGTCCCTGGCTCCATCTTGGAAGAAATGCACTGGCCAGCAGTAAGATATGTAAGCACTGACTAGACCATAAATCTGGGTAGGACTATTGCAGCTGATCAAAATTATAAATGTAGCTAACACTAACCTAGTGCCCTTATGTACCTGATACTCTCAAGTACTTCACTAAATAATTAAAGCCATGACTTCCATACACTATTTCTAATGTCCAAGGCATTTTAATTATATTAACTCATTCCATGTATATTTATTGTACCTTATAGTTGCTATTGTAGCCTCCATTCTCCTAGAGTTAAAGCTGTTACACAGATTAGTTACTGTTTTTCAACTTGCCCAAGCTCCTATAGACACTAACCAGTAGAACTACAGGCCATGGTTTTAGCTAGCAAACCCTATACTATCATAGGCTAAGTTCACCTCCACGGTGACCCAGAATATTTCAAGAAACAGGGATGCAGAACAGCTTCTACAATTTGCCCAAGACCCTGGGGCTGATCTCTGCTCACTCTTAGACAGTCCAGTCTCCCAAATAGTCCACTTGAGACCCCTCACTGAAAGGATGAAAGCCTTGGTAATCTGCCATTATTTCCTTCCTAACTCCTCATCAAATTTTGCCTGTATGTTTGAAGCCTGTACAGTACTGTCTCCTCAGAACCTTTGGCTCTTTCTCCACACTCCATTCCCCAGTGGTTATTGCTTCCGACAGTCTGTCTGCTCTTCTTCCTATTCCTTTATCCACTGCAGTAAGACTAGATCTTTGACAATTGCTCAATTGTTCTTCCTTCTTCCTATTTCTGTCTTCATACAGATGGATGGAATTAATCCTAAGAGTGGCACAGTTCCGCTGAACTCGGGTTTATCAAATCACATCACACTGACAGTCAGCCAAGGTGAGAGTACCCGTGCCACAAAAGTAAATTTGATGATGGCTCCCTCCTCCTCCTCCATCCCCCCTCCTCCTTTCTCTCTCTCTTCCACCCTCTCTCTTTCTTCCATCATTCTGTTTTTTTTTCTTTTTCTCTATGTGTGTGTAAGAGAGAAAGAGAGGAGAAAAGCAGGTGTGTTAAATGAACATTTAGACACTTTTAAATGTCCCATCCTAACATATCCAGAAGTCACAAAAAATACTTAGTCATGCTTTAGAGAAAAAAAAAAATCATAGAAGAAAGTTCTTCATTTGAGTTGTAACAAAAAAGCTCTTAGAAGTGGTTTGAATTATCACTATTATTGTTATACTTAATTGTCAACTTGATTGGTTTGGGAAGCACACACATACACACACACACACACACACACACACACACAAACACACTTCTGAATATATCTTCTGAAAATTGTAAAGGACCCTCCTAAGACCAGGGTACACATTCACTCATATACTGAATGAGCCAATGAGGTTTGCATTTTAAAACAAGACTGAACTGGATTTATGGTCTTTAGTTAGAGACCATGAAGTCATACACAGAGATGTGCCCTAAGAAGAAAGCTACCTACCCAGATAGTCCACCTTCATGGCAATGTTCACACTTGTAAGACCTGGGGTCTCACAGCTCAGGAGTTTAAGATCGCGCCCTTTCCAGAAACTCCCCCAGGCCAAAACTCGTTGCAAAAGCAAGAGGTTTATTAACCATTGCACAATGGGGTCACCCCTCCCAGTCAACAAAGAGTGGCACTGGGAGACAAAGGCCTTTAGGTTTTTAAAAGAAAAATTGCGGGAGATTTGAAGTTGCAGTCTTGGCAATTTAGGATTGGATGAGGAAGCTATAAAGTAAGATAATTGGTTAGTCTTAGGTGCTCAAGCTTGGCCAGTCCTGCCAAGTGTGGATGCAGCTGCAATTGAAGGTGGGGGTGGTTAGCTCATCCTTGAAGATTAGGGGCTACAGACTTTTGGCTGGAGGTCAAAAGCTACTCAGAAGAAGTCTAGGTTCGTTGCTATCTCAAAGACAAGGGTCTGGTCCTTCTTTTGCTGAGTGAAGGTCATTGCTTGCTTGCCTTTTTTTGTATCTGTCCTCACAGATAGGGTCATATTCCTCCATTCTCTGGAAAGGTACTAAGAGGCTTTAGCTTAACCTGGACCTAAAACTCAAAACTATAGGCTTTAGAAGACATATACGTTACAAAGTTAGCCTCACCCTTTCACACTGAAGTCTTGGTAGACGTCTTTGGAGTTAGTCTGGGTGCAGCCTATGCAGTTCTACACGTTTTTCCTCTCTCCCTATCATCCAGCTGGAAGCCAACGTTCCTCTTTGGTCCCCCTGATTCTTTTTACTTCAGGGTCCATTCACATTAATCTCTTCTTACTGACCTGTCACAAACAAGACTCAGCTGCCCCATTTTTATGTTCTCCCTTTCTTCTGACAGCCAAACTTTATTGTTTTCCTACCCTAGTTTCATGGTCTCTGAAAGTTCCTTAAAAGAATAAAGAAACTCTTTAATTCTGACTAATGCATCTGTTAATTAAAAATGTCCCACTAGTCCTACAAACCTTTATCCTATTATTTCCTTTTCTATTCCCCGTATGTTGGTTCAATTGTCCTGTAATTCACTATCTTCAAGATGTGTCCAACTAATCTGTGTCTCAGCCTCTCTACCTTGAGACTGTCCTGGCCCCAAGCAAGCACTATGGCCTCTTCGTCTCCCATTAAAAAATCACATTTCCAGCTAATCCAAATTAAGATCTCTCCCTACTGTGATTGTCTTATTGATATTATTACGAGAGTCGGGCCATTTTAGCCAAAATAGCCAACTTCTTTGAACATGAAATACAGGGCTGACCTGCAGAACTGAAGGAAGTATCCACTCCAGCCCAATTTCATGTGAGCCCCGAGTCAGAGGGACCAGAGGCTCAAGAGTGGAAGTTGTCCTCTCCATCTCTGAGGTCTTGAGGCTCCAGTGATCTAGTGCTTCTAACGCACTTGTTCTTGCTTTCTTCATCCCAGGTCTCTGTTTTGGTGTGTCCCTGATGACTTGTCTGCCTCACCAAGTTTCAGAGCCCAGTAGAAACTGATACGTTATCATGATGTCCTAATTCTAAATTATTTGGAAAGAAAGCTAGTTGGCCTAGCTAAGCCAGTGTGTTGATTACCTCTGGATCTGATGTCCACCTATTCAAAACACATGATTACAGTGCACCATAGCCAGTCCTTCCAGAGTGGAAAAACCTGACCCTCAGGAGAAGATCCATGAGTGATTGTCATCTCCAACACTAATCAAGCCCACAGGATGATATGACAACCCACTCCCCCGTTTATTATGACATTTGTGCACTATTGTCTTAACTTGTCTTCATGCCTCACTCCCCCCTCTAGTTTATATGGAATATATATTGTGCCTGTATGTGTAAGGAACCCAGTCATTGTCTGATTTTCACAAAGGCACACTCTGAGACATAATCTAAGAGGTAGGATTGTTTATGAAGAATGCCCTTGGCATTGAGATCTGAGCAGGAGAAAAGAATCAAGCAGTATTGGCTGAGGGAAACAATGAGGTGTACTGAAGACCATGGACAGGCTCACCCTGAATTTCAGGGGGTTCTACAAGGTTTGGCATTGTCCTAGTTAGCCAGGATACACACTCTCCACCCAATACTTACTATCTGTATGAACTTCCCAGGAAGGGACATGCATTTGTGTAAGGCTACTGAAGCTGAAGCAATTTAAGGAAAGGAGATGCTAAAAGCTGGGGCATGTCTTGGTTATTTTTTTTTATTGTCCACTTGACACAATCTAGAGTTACCTGGGGAGAGAAATTAGCTGAAGAATTGCCCAGGTTAGATTGACCTCTGGGCATTGCTGTGAGGCATTCCAGTGATTGCCAAATGACACAAATGGGTCTATCCTGCCCTAGGAAGGTGGTCTTAGGATGTCTAAGAAGGCCAGATGAACTGCCCCTAGAGACACTGCAAGTCTGACTGCTGTGTCACACGTATGTCAGTAGGTGTCAGAGAGAAGAGGGGCTATGTCCACGCTTAGTGTTCTGACCTACGAACAACTGAATGTTAGTAGTCTAACATTTCCTGAAAAATCCCAAGCCTGAGACAACCACCAGTCTCACCAGGCACCAGGCAGGGACATGATAGCAGGAAAGCTGCCCCTGCCCCTGCCCCTAGCCAACTGCAGCATTTCAGGAGAGTAGACCCTGGACCTGGGAAACACAGTTGAACTGACGCTGGTGCCAGAAGCAGGGGTCAAACTAGCCCAAGGGGCATGAGTGTGGGAGAGATGGCCCTGATGCTTGTCTGCTATACTGTGACATGAGTGAAGGAAAGATGCCTTCTCCCCCCATCACCCTTTGCCACTTATGGCAAGCAAAAGAGCTTCCCACAAGGTCATCAGAGCAGGAGAGCTGGTCCTGTCCCCCACCTGCTGTAGATTTGGGAGAGCAGGCCCTGATGGGGGGGTTGCAAGTAAGCCATCCCTTGGGGTATGAGAGTGAGATCGCTGGCTCTGCCTCTTGCCACTGTGGGGTGGCACTGGCAAGGGAGAGATCACCTCATCTCCCTTTTGCCCTCACCACTGGCAGCAGACAGGAGAATTGGCCCTGATGGGGTCATGAGAGAAGGAGAGTTGTCCCTGCCCCTCACCTACTGCAGCACTTGGGAGAGCAAGCCCAGCACCTCACTGGGACAGCAGGGTGGAGAGGGCCCTGGTTCAGGGGTTGTTAATGAGAAGGTCAGGAGGATGTCAGAGCAGGAGAGCTGGAGGGCTGACCAGATCAGATACCTCTCAGGCCCAGATATAGAGCTTCTATCCCAACACGTACCCCATCAAGGAACTGCTGGGTGACATGAAGGGGCTGGTCCTACAGATCCAAAACTACAGGATCTCCACGACACAGGACAACAACAGGATATCTGAGAGAAGTCCCAGGGGTCACTATTGACAGAGCAGCTGAAGCCAGAGGCCTCATGCCAGAGCAACAAGTCATTGCAGTGAACATTTGCAAGCAAAGAAGTGTGGGCAAAAGGGTATAGTATGGAACACACTGTGACACACCACAGATCCCACAACAAGGTTTTTTTTCCCTCTGTTGTTGGGGGAAGTTGCAAGGGTGGAGGGCAGATATGAGGAGAGAGGGAGGGGAGTGGGATTGGGGCACATGATGTGAAATTTATAAGGAACCGATAAAAAGTTTTTTCTTACAAAAAAAACAAGAGTTAGATATGCATACATCTGGGAATGAACCCCATGCGGCACTCAAGTACCTGCTCTGACTTCCTCCAGCAATATGATCTGTAGGTATGAAATGAAATGAACCCTTTCCTCCCCTAAGCTGCATTTGGCCATAGCGTTTCAGCACAGCAACAGAAAAGCAAACCAGTACAACAGCTGCAGCAGGCAGCATTTAATGGCAGCTGGGTGGTTCCAAGGACCACAGGCTAGCTGAAGCCACTACTACACTTTAAATGATGTATACGCTTGTATTCATGTTACCTACTTCAAGGGGAGAGAGTGAGCATAATTATTGAATGGAAGACTGGGTGAGTTGCTATAGAAACACTGACCAGACAAGAACCAAGTAGGTACCCAGAGATTAGGAGAACTCAGCTTTATTGGTGCAGACCTGGACTAAAGAATCTGGCTTCAAATCACAGTTTCTTGTAACTTTTATAGATACCCATGTTGAAATCCTTATCTGCACCACCATCTTAGGGTGAATTTTGAGTCCTGTGACCACCAAAGAGAAATTTCCAGCACAATTAGACACATTTATAGAAACTAGCATGGCAGGGGATAGGTAACACACTCCATCTTAAGCCAACAGGACAATGGTATGACAGGAAGCTGGGGTACTCATTTCTTCAGGCAGTTTCCTACAAACATTTGCCTTTCCCAAGGTAAGAGGCTCTAACAAGCTAGCAGAATTCAGCATGACCAACCATTGCAGAAGTCAAATTTAACTTACCCTATTCCTACATCATTCTATAGTTTCTAAGCAGATAGTGATATTATAGTACAGTGTAATAATTCCAACTTGTTAGGTGCATATCTAAGCATATAACATTTCCCCCCCTTTAGAATGAATACACACATGTCACTTTTCTAGAGATCCTAGAAGAAGCTCAAATTTGGCAGCATCTCATTTATAGATAGATAGATAGATAGATAGATAGATAGATAGATAGATAGATA